CCAGCGTGGCCGCGTCCAGGCGTTCCTGCAGGGCGCGCAGGGCCTGACGGGCGGGGGGGCAGCCCAGAACGCCCCTCCTCCTCCTCCTCCTCCGCCTCCTCCTCCTCCTCCTCCTCCTCCTCCTCCTCCTCCTCCTCCTCCTCCTAGGGACGAGGACAAGCTCGGGCGAGGGTACATCCAGAAAGCCAATGTCGGGGGCGGCACAGAGGGGGGCGTCCAAGAGGGGGGGGTGCAAATCATGGCCGTGTGCGCGGCCCAGCGGGGGGGCCAGGGACGCAATAAAGTAAGAATAGGCGCCATGAAATCTGGGAACTATCATGGCCCCCGCCATTATATCCTCCCCCTAGTCATCTCCCCGCTCTTTGCCGCCCCTGAAAGGACGAGGACAAGCTCGGGCGAGGGAACATCCAGAAAGCCAACGATCGGGTCGGGAGGGTCGGGATGATACGGGGCACGACTATGCAGTTAGCACACTCGACATCTGCGATAAGGCTGATGATCTGGCCATCTCTCCCAGCTCCGTCCTCCCAGCCCGTTAACTGTCTTTCTGGTACGTCGGGGATCCCCAAGAATCCGACGCTCCGACAATATTGTGTCGGACGGCTATTGGGCCGTTTTCCTCCTCCTGGGGGCCCTCGCTGGGCCTCGGGACCGTCCGAAGGCGACTCGGGACGAAAGCCCAACCCTGGGGACCCAGACCCCCGACGCCGTGATGTTTTCACAGCGTCGACCCCCAGAGGTCTGGACCCCTTCCCCGGGACCGGCTCCTCGCCCAGAGTCGTCGATTTTTGAAGGTCCCGTGGCCCGGCGAGGGCCTCCAGACACCGAAAGAGCAGAGAGAAACCTCCCGTCGTGATGCTCTCACCTCGCGAGGGGGGTCTGTCGGCGGTGGGCAAGCCTCCCTTTAGCAAACCTCCCTCTAGTGAGAACGGCCTGGGACCGAAACCGACGGACCTGGACCCGCAAGAATGACGGCCGCGACGCCCTCTCGCGAGCCGGGAACGGCCAATTCGCTGATCGACGTGTCAGGGTAGGTTGGCGGCGCGCACAAGGGGGTAGGGGGAGGGGGGAAGGCTTCTTAGAAGGAGGCTGCTTCTTAGAAGGCGCCGGCCTTGCATCTACAAAGAAGGCCCGCGCCTTCTAAGAATAGAGGCCTCCGAGATGGGGTCGAAGTAGATGGGGTCGAAGGATCGCACCGCATCGCCGACACATCGGCGATACATCGGCGATGCATCGGCGATGCATCGCTGATGCACTGGCGATGCATCGCCGACGTCGGCGATGCATCGGCGACGTCGACGTGAAGCAAATCGGGCTCCACATCGGGCCGCATCGCCGATGCATCAGCAGTGCAGCGCGGTCCCCCGACCCCACCTACTCGGACCCCCTCGAGGAGGCCTATACAGAAGCAGGGGTGTTTCCAAGAAGCCCTCCCCCCTCCCCCCACCCCCCTCTGCGCGTGGCTGGGTAGGAGGTCCGTCCACCTCCGACCGAACGCAGAGAGACACCTCGCGTTCGCGATTTGTTCTCGCACCGCGCGAGGGGGGCCTACGGGGGGGAGGCGGTCCAGACCTCCCGGGGGGGGGCCACGCCTCGGAGCACGCGGGGCGGCCAGGCGTCTGGGTTTCACAATCGGGCTCGTGCCTCTACAGGGGGGACGTTCAAAAATAGTTTGCAAAATAATCTGGGGACCATTTGTTGACTATTTTTGGGGGTATTTTTTTGAACGCCTGTTGGCAATTTTTCATTTTTCGCCCCAGAAGTCCCCTCTGTAGGGGGACAGGCCCGGCTTGAAGTCTGGGCCCCTGGGGGCCCAGGAGGAGGCGAGGAGGAGGCGCCCGGCCCACGGGCCGCCTCCGGCCGCTCTGGCGGGGGGAGCCAGCAGACGAGGCCAAGGCCAGGCCAAGGGGGGAACCAGCGTCGGCGTGGGCAAAATCGGGCCCCACATCGAGCCGCATCGCTGATTCATCGCCGATGCATCGGCGATGCGGCGCGATCCTCCGACTCCATTTACTCCGACCCTATCTAGGAGGCCTAGAACCTCTGGACATGCCCCGTCCGTGCACCAGCCTGCTGGAGGCGGCCCGCCCTTGCACCCCAGCGGGAGGACGACGCCGACAGACCCAGACGAGCTCGAGTCGCTAAAAAGTCGCGACGGAGGGTTTTCGCTGTTTTCGGACTGTGCGGGCCCTCGCTGGGCCTCGGGACCAAAGCTCGTGCTTGCACGTGCTGGGAAATCTTTCTGGAGGCGTGCCTCCTCGGGTGAAAAAGATCGACGATGCACCTGTCACGTCTCTGGTGCGCCCAAACGTGCCTAGAGACCATTAGCGCTTAACTGCGTCATCCTGGGTGTGGGCCCGCTGGTTGAATTGTCCAGCGCGTCTTGTCCACCTTGCGCGCATGACTCGCGTGATATGTCTAGATAAACAAAGCCTGGCACGTGTAGTGCTTCGTCTGCATCCTCCTGGCTTGTATGCTGTCTGCCATCTTGAGGTGCTCACAGGGTCCCGGCAAGGTCCGCGCTGAAGGAGTCGCTGGATGCCGAACATTCTAGTCAAAGTGGCCTCCAGTATTTTGCTCATCGGGGGCCCGCGCGTATCTCCGCCTCGCGAGCCGAGCCCTAGAGGAAGGGGGAGACTGGGATTACCCGAGGATCTCCCTAAGCCGATTCGATCAAGACATGCTACTTTGGGAGGACTTCATGTGAGTGGCCGCCCTCCAGTGACACGCTGGAGGACCTGCGAACCCATCTTAGCGGGAGCCTTTGTCCTGAGAGTAGACAGGAAGAGAGAAATGAGTAGGATGAGTATGAGGATGCATATCCAGGACGAGGGGGAAGAGGCCACGAGCAGGGTGCAGAGCGAGGGAAGGAGAAGGATGGGCATGAACGAAAGGATGAAGAGAGGATGACGAGCAAGACCGTGACGAACAAGATGAAACCGACAAGAGGGCTGAAAATGAACACGCCGCCCGTCGTCGTCGCCGTCGTCATCAGCGTCGTCGTTGTCGTCGTCGTCGCCGCCGCCGTCGTCGCGGCCGTCGCCGCCGCCGCCACCGTCGCCGTCGCCGTCGCCGCCGTCGCCGTTGTTGTCGCCGTCGTCGCCGTTGCCGTCGTCTTCGTCGTTGTCGTCGTCGTCGTCGTCGCCGCCGCTGTCGTCGCCGTCGTCGCCGTCGCCGTCGCCGTCGCCGTCGCCGTCGCCGTCGCCGTCGCCGTCGCCGTCGCCGTCGCCGTCGCCGTCGCCGTCGTCGTCGTCGTCGTCGTCGTCGTCGTCGTCGTCGTCGCCGCCGCAGAGAGCCCGCGGGGCGCCGCGCCTGGTCGGCGCCCTCCCGCTCGGGTGCGGGCCGCGCCGGGACCGAGGCGGCCCGCTGCAGCGCCTCGGCGCGCTGCGCGGCCTCGGGCGCGGGCCGTGGGGAAGGGGCGCGCTTGCCCCTAACCGTCCTGTGGCGTTGGGGCCCTCGTTGTGAGCAGGCAGCGCCCCGCGTCGCTCCCGCTTGCTGCGCTCCTCCCTCCGCCCACATCCCTGCACCGGCCCCCTCCCCGTGTCAGGCTGGTCGGCTCAGCCCTCCCGCGCTTCGTGGCCCCACGGGGGAGCTCCACCGAGGGCCGCAACGGCTGCGCTCGCATGGCCCCGCTGCGCCCAGTACCTCTCATACGTTTTGTGGCCCCACAGGGAGCTCCACCGAAGGCCGCAGTGGCTGCGCTCGCACGACACCACGCCAGTGGCAGCGCTCGCATGGCGCCAGCGCTCCATTTCGGCACACCCATCTTATGTTTTGTGGCCCCAGAGGGCAACCCACCGAAGGCTCCAGTGGCTGCGCTCAGCAGGCACACACGCTTCGTGGCCCTATAAGGAGCTCCACCGAAAACGGTACCCACAGCGCGGTACTCACAACTGCATGTGGTTGGATCCTTCGCCCGGTTCTTTTAGTGGTTGTTGTTGCTGTTGCTGTTGTTGTTGTGGTTGTTGTTGTGTCGTTTTGTTTTGTTTTGGTGTGTGTTGTGTTGTGTTGTGTTGTGTTGTGTTGTGTTGTGTTGTGTTGTGTTGTGTTGTGTTGTGTTGTGTTGTGTTGTGTTGTGTTGTGTTGTGTTGTGTTGTGTTGTGTTGTGTTGTGTTGTGTTGTGTTGTGTTGTGTTGTGTGTTTGTCAAACAGCCCTGTGTGTTGGGTTCTCGTTTTGAGCTCGCGGCGCCGCTTGTCTCCTTCTTCTCGCCTCCTCCCCCTCTTCCTCTCCTCCTCCTCCTTGCCGTTCGCATCATCCTCCTCATCGTCGTCGTCAACATCATCGTCTTCACGCTCGCTGCCGCCGTCATCCTTCCCACCACCGGTTTCGCCACACCCCTCACGCGCCTCCCGGCCCCGTCGGGAGCTCCGCCGAGGGCCCCTGCGGCAGGGCCCGCATAGTTGCTCGGGTCCCCTCTGGCACACCCCCTCACGCGCTTCGTGGCCTCACAGGGAGCGCCGCAGGCCTCGGTGGCAGGGCCCGCACGCTTACAGCAGGAGCCCGACCACAGGAGACCCTCCACAAGAAGCCCAACCCTGAGACCCCAGGATGTCCAGTGGTCTGTGGTGTGAGAACGTCACGCCTTCCGTCGCAGAACCACCGAAACCCAAGACACCCAGGGCACCCTGGAGGCAAGCAGGGTGCTTCTTGGCATGGGCCGCCACTGTATCTGGGTCCATCCTGGCACACCCCTCGCACGCTTCGCGGCCCCATCGGGGGCTCCACCGAAGGCGTCTCTGTGGCAGGGTCCGCATGGCTACTGCACGAGGCCAGGAGCCAGGAATCGCGAGGCCAAGCTTCGGGGAGCTCTCCTCCGCGCTGCGGAGCCTGAGCCGGTCAGGGAATCGTGAGCTCGCGGCGCAATCGCGCCGCCACCTGCCTGGAATCCCGCGCGCTGCGTTTGCGCTATGAACACGTCCTCGAAGTATCCCTTATCCTGTTTCCTCTGCCCGCGCCCTCGTGCTCCGTCCGCATGCGTCCTCGTCTTCCCGGGTCTGCTTGGAGTCGCGTGAGCGAGTGCCGTGCCTGGTCCGACGTTCTCGGGGAGGATTTCGGGGGTACTGCGGACCCCCCCCCCAACGAGTTGTTGCGCATTGAGCGGTCCTGTTAGCGAGTAGTATGGGTTGGTTTCTTCGCCCGGGCAAATTCAAGTTGTTGGCGTTGCTGTTGCTGTTGCTGTTGCTGTTGTTGTTGTTGTTGTTGATATTGTTGTTGTTGTTGTCGTCGTTATGCGTGTGAGTGCGTGTGTGTGATTGTCTGCTTGCGTGCTTGTTTGCTTGTTTGTGTGTTTGCTTGTCTGTGTGTGTGTGTTTGTTAGCAGTCTCTGAGTGCTCTGCCTGCCGTAAACGCGCGCGCGCTTCGCTGCCTGCACCCGACTTTCTACGCCCCGTCGCCGCGCGCGGGGCCACGAAGCGCATTGTGCGTGCGTGTGTGTGTTGTGTGTTGTGTGTGTGTGTGTTTGTATGTTTGTGCTTGTGTGTGTGTGTTTCTTGTTTGTGTGTGTGTGTCTGCGTGCGTGCGTGCTTCTTGCTTGGTTTGCTGTTTGCTTCGCCGCACTCTTTGTGTCTAATTTTCCCTGTCTCCACGACGCACTCGCTCCCCCACGACGGCTCATCGAGGGAGCCGGCCGCAGGACACCGACGGGCCTCGCACAGCCGGGGGGACGACGGCGCATCTGGCGGAGGGGAGGGCGGCGGGCCTCTTCGACTCTGCCACTCGGGGTGGACCTCGCGCGCGCGCCTCTGAGAGGGCGCCTCTGGCCGAGGGCGGTGCTGCCCCCGTCGTACTTTCGGGGAGACGTAAGACCTGGGTACAGGGGACTCGGAAATCCCCGACGAGGTCGTCAAAAAAATGACGAGGCCGAGCCTGCATTTTGACGAGGCCTCCCGCTGCAGATATCCCACGAAACTCCTCCTCGTCAAAATCCGAGGCGCGGTCGTCAAAAAACGATGGCGAACCCGAGTCCTGGCAAACCCGGGTCTTACGCTCCCCCGATACTTGAGGACCACATCCCAGAAAAAGAAACGAGCACCCAGAGAAGTGTCGAAAGAGTGTCGGAACAGTGTCGACCCGGGCCCGACACGTGAAAACCCTCGAGTTTCGGCACGTATTCTGGTGCTCGAACTTCTTTCTGGTGATCAAAGCTAAAGCAGGTTGGAACATCATAAGCCGAGGGTGGGGTGGGGGGGGGCGGGAGGGGGGAAGATGGAAGGGAGAGGGACGAGGAACCTTAGTGGGCCCTGGAAACGACAGGGCCGTTTGTTTTTACCGGTTCCGTTTTGCCGTTTCTTTGCCGGTTCCGATGCCGTTTTTTGACCGGCTCCGGCTCCGGTTCCAATCCTGGAGCCGTTTCTTTACCGTTTCCGGTCGCCGTTTTTTTGCTGTTTCCATTTTCAAAGGACATTTTTTGGGAAACGGTGAAAAAACGGCCATGCCGTTTCCGGGGCCCACAAAGCGAGGAGCAGGATCAATCAGCATCGGACCAGGAAATCGGATGGAATCGGAATTCGCGTCAGCTCGGCCTGCATCGGCAAGGAGTCGAAGTCGAAGCGGGCCGGCTGCGCCACGATGCGCAACAACGCCACGCGAACATCGGGCCGTATCGGATCGTCGGACTGTCGAAATCGAATGGGACCCCACTGGCCAGAAATGATATCGGATCGGCTCGATCGGATCGGGAAGAGCGAAGAAGGGGCGACGTCATATGCAAATCAAGCGATACCTCATCGTCGCTGGGGGCTGCGAATTGCGAAACTGTCAACACTTCCGTGGATCCTGGGGTGTCCAATGAGGTGACGTCCGATTCAAATCAGATGCAGCCTTACCGTCGCTCGGGCCTGCGATCCGCGAGTCGGTCGCCACCTCCGTGGGCTCCTGGGGAGTCCAACGGAGCAACGTCATATTCAGGTCAGATGAAACCTCGTCGTCGCTCGGGGCTGCGAATGGCAGAAACGGTCGCCGCTGTCGTGGGCGCCTGGGAGGTCCAGCAGGGTGCCGTCCGAACCAGGTCAGATGAGACCTCGCGGTCGCTGGGGGCCGAGAAGCGCGAGACGGTCGCCACGTTCGTGGGCTCCCCGGGAGGTTCCGCGGAGTGGCGCCCTACCCAAAAACAGAGGGGACCCCGTCGCTGGGATTACGAACTGCGACGCTGTCGCCACTTTTGTGGGCTCCTGGGGGAGCCAGCGGAGCGACGCCCTTCTCAGACCAGGTGAGAGCTCGGCGTCGCTGAGGGTTGCGGACTGCGAAACCGTCAACACGTTCGTGGGCTCCTGGGTGCGAGCTGTGAATATGTCGCTTCCTTCGTGGGCTCCGCGGATGTCCAGCGGAGCGACGTTCTCAACAGAAACCTCGCCGCCGCTCGGGGCTGCGGACTGCGAATGTGTCGAAACGTTCGTGGGCTCCTGGGGGGTCCAGCGGAGTGGCGTCCTATTCAGATCAGACGAGACCTCGCCGTCGCTGGGGCTGCGGACTGCGAGTGTGTCGCCACGTTCGTGGGTTCC